CACATCTGCTCATCTCTCAGCAACATCTGTTTTCTCGAGAAGACGTCTGTTTCCTGACTTTTAGTTTAAAACAGACCTATTTGCGAGATAGCACGAGTTTGCAAGTATCATTACAGTGTAAATTGGTTGGACATACAGTACCGTGCCATACCTGAAACAGAAAACTAACGAATACAGTAATATTCTCTCAACACTTCAGAAACTGTGGGCTTCCACACAGATACGCACACACATCAATGTATCTCCCATATGAGAAGACTTTGTCAACGGGAAGCGTGGCCTCAAAATTAAAGGTGGATGATGCAATATAACTCCAGCAGGGGTCACTCATAATTCATTACATAAATAATAAATTAGTAATTTTGCTGAAATGTGTAATACATAGAACATTTTTGACACTGTTAATTGTTTATTTTGCTAAAGGTGTTGCACAGTGATGCACAGAATCATTGGGTGATATGAGCTTTATCATGAATAAAAATAACCATATAGGGAACAAAATGTCCCTCCACCTTAAGTGATTCCAAAAACGCATTAAAGCATAATCAGATCTGTATTACACGCTCATATACTTTTCATGGTGCCACACATGCAGAAAGTCTAAAACTTTACCCCGGTCCTGTGCCCTCAATCCATTGAGGCTTCTCGTTTCCCTATTATCTCCATATTTCTGGGAGAAGTGGCCTAATTAATCATGTGGCCATTTTGTGTATTAATTTTCATTAGTGCTGTCTGCTTGGATCCCCCAGCCAGGACACATCACTCCTGTGTCTCATTAGACAGTCCATCATTCTTTCTGACTTCCTTTTCTAAACACAGAGAAAACTTTCTCTAGACTCATTGCTTTTTAGTTTTTGAATCAGTCTGTTTTGATTTATAATAAAGTCCAATCATGTTTTGAGTTTCCAAGAGCATAATAAAATAGCTAATGATGCTGTTGTGCTGTGGTGAATTGTGAAAGAAGTGCATTAATTGGAAAAAGAGAAAATTCAGAATATACAGTCAAAGTTTCTGTAATGCCTGTAGACTTAGTCCCTTAAGGAGCTATATCATTTAATGTTTTAACATAAAAGTTGTCACCTTTTTTATATAGTGCTTTATACAATACATATTGTTATTAAAAGTACAGTAGTCGATTTGGGAGAGGCTAGCAATAGTATGAAAGCATAAGATCCCACCCTCCCTGCAAATCCCTCTGCAAGCCATGCCTCCCTCAAAACACATGAATGTGCACAGACCAGAGGCTAACCAGCGACACAATTGGGGGAAGTTGATGGAGTCTGAATCTATCTGTATTTTCTTTTCACATTATAACTAATAAATTAATAGTAAGATAAATTCTAAACATGTATTAATTTATTCTAATGTAGTACACCATGTTCATTTTATGATGCCTTATTCCTCATGTTACTCAATAAAATTATATAAATGTATTTAATAATCCGATTAAATAAATACTTAAATTGTTTCAGGCCTCCATGTGAATATTGCACAAAGTTTTAAGTCCATTAACTTTAACAGCCATTTTATTGACCCTAGAATGAAGTATGTAAATAAAAATAAGTTTACGATTTGACACCCTTATTATAGACAGCTCTCAGCATACTCAAAATTAGGGGTAATCACAATTATTTTACCATATTTACAGTCCTAATGTAAATTTAAATTACTGAAATAA